TAAGATGTGTCCTTCACCAACAATGTGTTTGATGATGTGAAAATTCGATTAAATTACAAAATAAAACAAATAACTTTCTTTTGAAGAGTTTTGGCTAGCCGAAGCAAATATAATATTTCAATTCGGTGAAAAAGAGTCACGACTGTTTGTTTACATCGTTTGAAAAAGGACTTAGGTGGTTCAAGTGGCAGTGATATATAATCTTTGAATTGGAATAACATATCTTTTGTAGTGGCAGATTTACAATTTTATCTTGGATTCACATTTTGGGGACTGTCAATTACGTTTAAATTGATCGTATGTCAAGCCACTTCACATTATTAAGCAGGTAATATTTGGGTGTAGTGATTTACACAAGCTACTTTAATGGAATTAATTTTATAACCTCACCACTTCTTCTTCTTTCTTTAAGTACAAGAGAAAAAAATAAGTGCAACTTTCTTCATAAAATATACCAGTTTTTTATATATAAATACCATTTCAGTGTGGAAGGGACTCGTTTTACGAAGCTAAATGATACAGGAAAAAAACGTTGACCGCTACATTAGGAAACCCTATGTTATTGCAAAATATGTTAGATTACAACTCAACCTTCCAATCATCTATTGAAAATAATCTTATTCCGCACATATCATAATCCGTCGTATTCTTATTGAATTACAAAATGTAAAAACGTATCAATTCTCCATTAAAGTTAAATCGTCAATATGTCTAAGGTTATGTGTACTTTGTTGGGCAGGAGTTATAAGTTTTGAAAGATAAGAAGGTGAGATACGGTTTTTCATTTATACAAAAAGATTAATTTGTGTTTGCTTCTTTTTCTTTCTAACGATTCCCATTTGAGGTCACTGATTAGTTTGTTAATGTTACACCGTTTCCTAGCGCCTGTGAATATTCTAGCTGCTTTATTTTGAACGGATTCCATATCCTTCAGTTTAGTTCTTCAGTTAAATTATCCCAGACTACATCAGAATATTCAAAAAGTGGTCGTAAAAAAGAATAATGCATGCGATCTAAACTTATAAGTGATAAGATAAATTTAAAACTTCTGAGTAGCACAGGTCTTTCAAGGCCTTATCAAGTACTAAAGGAATATTGGTTTTCGAACGTGCATCGTGAGATAAAGTTACACCAAAAGGTTTATGTGATGAGACCTGAGCTATCGGTGTAGAGTTATATGCAACAAAGTGTGGGATGAGACGTTTAGACAATTTCCTTGAAAAAAAAACCACTTGGTTTTGTTTTAGCTGGATTAAAAGAAACAAGTGAAGCACTGGACGAAGAATGTATCCGATACAAGTCTGAGTTAAAACTGGTTGGTTATCTACGACTAAATCAAACTCGTGTCATTCGCAAAAATGTGGACCTTTGAAAAATTAATTAAAGATATGTTGTAACTGAAGTTGTAAACCACTCTTAAATGATATAAAATATATGTGTATAATTATGCTTATAAAACAATTTTCAAACATCGAAGAATATGTAAAATATGTACAGCAAATATTCGTACAAATTATATGTAATCATTGAAATAAATGCATTCATTTCTTATTTTGAACTTTGACTTAGTCTTAAGTTAAGAGAAAATAAAATTTTTATTACCTCCCTTTATTTACATGTAATGTTAAATCCGGTAATATCTTGATAAATAATGCTTTTTGATACTTACAAAATTGATAAATCTTAACTTGAGCATCATATTTATGATATAAAACCATAAATAAATGTGTTACAGGATCTTTAAAAGCATATACCACTTATATACGGAATAGAAATATGACAGTATTTACAACATTTAATCTTTATTATTCATTTTGTTGTTTATCCATTTTGACCCTTTTTAAAAGCAAGACAAATAAAGGTCACTCCTTTGATTAATATGATTTATGATTAAAATAGCAATAAATAAGTAAATAAGATTACAGAACACAAATGAAACCCATTCTTCATAAATATTTAAACCCAAATAGTTTAGGGTGAATAATCTCAAACTTAAGTTTTAATTTAAACATGCTTCTTGAAGTTTTTTTTATTAGGTTGTTAGATTAAACAACAAGGCGAAATGAACATTCAGAGGTTAAGAACAGTTTTGGAGTCACCTTTAGCATTCAAAACATTTAAACGTAGTATGCAAAACTATGTTTTAGTGGCATTATGCTATTTCTTTCGGTATTAAATGTAGCTGCATTTGTAATATAATAATGGCGATTGACCAATAATTGTTAGTGAAAGATGTTTAGGATAAAATCAACCTAAAAGACTGTCCACCTCTTCATAACAATCAAACAATAACGATGACTTGTAAACGATGTTAATAGATATTTTGTGGGGCAAATGAATTATTGATTAAAATATTAAAATTAACATTTATGGGAAAATGTAGTTATTTTGATTTTTACCAGTGCACTCATTATTTGCACTTGGATGTGCGAAATATCCATTAAGAGTGTTGTGTAGAAGTATTTATTTCAATTTTTTATTGACACCATACAATTTTGCCAAAAGAAATAAATAAAAGAAATAACTTTATGCTCATTGCTTCAACAATGTTGTATAATATGGTCAAAACAAATGCTTAAATGCTGTATTACACTGTTGTTTTTTTCCATCATTTTTTTTTAATTTCACGAATTCTTATTCTTATTCATAAATTCAAGCTACATGACTCCATGTGAGCCAAAACATTTCAAGAAATTTAATTTTGAGAAAAAATTCATCATTCAAGTAGTGATTTACACGTAGTGCAATGAACGAGTAATCTTGCAGTATTAATTACCATATTTCTACTGTGTGACTGCGATGACTAACGCAGTTAGATTTTTGTGTGCATATTTTGACCTTTATTTGGTAATTTACGTGAATTGAAAGTGCCATTTGCAATGTGTAAAGTACATTCTTTGTTCACTTGACAATACATTACTTTTTTATTCATTTTTTCAAGTTTTCATGAAAATTAGCATGAATCTGTAGGCATTCTTCTTTGAAAGCAGATTGATAAAATGGTAAAAAACTTGTTTTCTTGATAACTTATTATGAACTGTACAGTAAAATAAATAACACTGGTGAATGCAAAATTTTTAAATTTGGGTTTCTTTCTTTTTAAATAAACAAAAAAGAAAAAAAAGGGGTTTTTTAAAAGTTTAAAAGAATTTTGGTTTCGATTGGGGAAAAAACCCAAACCCTTTGGGGGGAAAAAATTAACAAAGGGGTTAGAAATGTTTTTTAAATTTTTTCCAAATAACTTTTTTAAAACCCTTTGGAAAAATTTTCTTTTAGTACCCCTTTAAAATTTGGGCTTGGGTATGTCCCCTATTTTCAACCCCCTTCCATTGCCCACATGGCAGCTTTGAAAAATTTTAAGTTAGGGGGCAGGGTGCAACGAGCCAAAAAATATAATAAAACATTGTTTTTTTGGGACGCTGCCCCCCCTTCCCAATTAGAAAATTTAAAGATCTGTATTTGTTTTTTTTTAAAATTTTTATTTTTTAATCGTGATGTTTCTGTTTAAAATAATCCAAACCAAAATTTTTTGGCACGCAAAAGAAAGATGTTTTTTTTAAATATGATTTATATTTTTGTTTTGCACTATGGGTATGGTTGCGTTTATAATTTATTGTTTTTGTACTATTGGTACCAGTGTGTTGAAATTACTTTTGAGCGATAATACGATGTTATGATTATTCATTTTGCAATAAATTTAGGTTTTTTTTCTAAAAAAAAGTGTATCAATACATTTTTTTTGCATCCCGCTCCCTTTTTTCACAGATAACCTTGCATTGTATTTATCATATCAAATTTCGCAACGTCATCATGACATAATCCACAATATGTTAACAAAGTCTCCAAACTTTTAACGTTATAAGCATATTAGAATTGTTTTTTCAAAATTCGTTTTCATCCGTGGTTCTACTCAGGTGCCCGTTCGTGCCTAAGGTCTTCCACCACCAGTAAAGCTCGAAATTCATTGTTTAACCTATACTGTGGTGGTGCGACGTTGAACCTAGCCAAAAACATTAAAGCCGATACTTTCTCTTAAAACACATGATTTCGATCCTTAACTTCGCAATGTTTTTGATATTTTCTTTGATACGGACATTACTTCAATTGACCTGCATTTTTGGTGTTGATGGCAGAAATTTTATTACTTTTAAGAAAATACAAAAATATTTTTATTTTCACTTTTTGTGAATGGTTGGGAAGTTACCAAACTTTCAGATGTTCAATTATGTTCAGTTTAACACAATGCAAACATCTTTTGCCGTTCGATTTTATGTGAAAAAGTTGATTAGTCAGTAGGCTTTTAAATAATTCTGTGGTTAAATTTCATGTCTCACCATTACGGTGGATATCATATGGCGACTTTCTAACTTTACTGGTGGACGCACCTCCCTGCATTATTATAGGCACGAACGGGCACCTGACTTTCAAATGTAATGGGATAAATGCAACACAAAACTATTTTGAGCTCAATCTTATGTGAAAAGTTAGTTTGTAGTTTGTACATTAAAATGCTGTCAAATGTTCCAGTACTTGTTATGATCATTTTAACAAATTGAGCGTGTATTAATTACTAGCGTGTTCAAATCCTTAAATCAAAGACAAAATTTTGAAAAAAAAGAGTTCTTTTTTCTTCTTTCTGTAGCAGTTGCAATAGGTGGCATTGATACATTAATTGTTCCTTAAACAACCATATTGTTCTGCATACATTATTGAAGTATATCAAGTTTATTAGAATAATGTCTTCAAATTACTTGATATAAGAATATTTACACTGATTTGTTTAAGATTCTATAACATAATGATAAAGAATATAATTCTGATTTGTTGTTCGTTTAGCATTAAAATTTGAGATAATTGTATCAACAGCTGTATTATCTATTATTTAAAACACACCCATTTATTTGTTTTAAGATCTGAACATGAGATTGCCTGATTTTTATTGGCTGATTGAACCTTATCTTTTGGAATATAAGCTCAGCGTGATGAGTTAGTTTGGTTAAGTTACAAGACTTTTTTTCTTTATGACAAAGACACAATTATAGTTAAACCAGCGCATAATTTTGTCTTTTTAAAGAAAAAAATCAAAATGAAAATGACTTGGATTTCAATTATTAGTTTGGTATTTCTCAGTGCTTTGAAGAATGGAGGTAAATAACTTTACGAATAAATTTAAGTTTAATTTGAAATCAGTATCTTTTTATGTATAAATGACATATATTCAATTACTGCCTGTTGCAAGCAATAAAATTTTCTGTTCTCTTATTGCCTTTTTTGTATTGAAAATGAATTTATATAAATTTTTTTTTTTTTTAAAACATCACAGATGGATAATGATATAATTATTTAGTAAACTGTAAAAGAGAAAATCAATTACTTTAATAATGATTATATTAAATTTTCTAAACAAACTTTCTGTTGCAATATCACAAATCAAAATCAACGTAAACAGCATTTGTCGCACAAATAATTTTGTTTAAAAAGATTAAAAAATATTTTATTATAATGAAAATTCAAGAGAAGTTAAAATGTGAGTTTGCTTTATGTACAGTTGTTTCATTTGTTGTAAAGTTGGTTTTCGGCTACAACAGGTTATTATAGAATCATTACATAATATAACATACTATGACTCAGAAGAATCTTAATGAATATTTTACTAAGAACTAAGGGTCTGAGTATTCTTTTATTTCAAATGTAGATTAGATTATAACTTGTGTTAATTCTAGCCTGCCCAATACACAAATTGTTAAGCTTTTTCTTTGCCTGGCCTAGAAATTAAGTTGTCCATGAATCATTTTGAAAGTCACTGAGAGTTGATTACGTCATTTTGCACTTGCGCTCATTAACGCGCGCATTATTGAAAAATAATGCCGAGAAGCAAGACGACCAAATTAGATAATGCCCTAGATCTTGCCATCATGACCTTGCAATTCCAAAGTTTTTGTCATTAAATATAGTAACATAGGTATTATCCTTGTTAGTATAATGTAAAAACAGGTCTTGCTACTATTCAGATTTATTAGTTTAATAGCACTATCAAAAAGGTTATTGTTTTAACATTCATTTAATCATTACTTTGTGACATCTTTCAATTGGTTTAAATCTTTAATTCAACTAGTTTATCTGAAAATCAAATTTTAAAGTAAAATGAGAACAGTTTATATTAAAGCACATACTGTGAACTTGTTTAGCTTAGTATACGAAACATTTAAGTTAAGCGAAAAGGAATAGTTAGATCAATTATTAAAGATTTTGTTGATTTAAACTTTGTCAACATTTGCGTTTAATTTCCATTTGTATTCAAAAGAATGTGTCATCCTAACGATAAGATTATTTTTTCTATTGTAAAATAATTTCAAATACTTCTCTTGAGCAAACTATTAAAGAACATCACATAATCGGAAATAAGTTAACTTTTATTTTATGTTTAGAAACATGCTTTTACAAACACCTTAATACATTCAAAAAGCTCTTGAATATACATGTATGTTTACAAGTAAAACAAAAAACAAACAAAAACAAAAACTATGAAATATCCCAGAAACGGGATATCATTAAAACACATATAACAACTTCTCAAACAGATGCAGTTATTACTGGTTGGACCGTGCCATCAATAACCGGGGCTGATGGATCAGGAACGCTCTCCATTCAAGAAGATCAGACAACTAATGCAAAGATTGAAACATATGTAGCAACCTCGGTGTCTGTACCCGTTGCATACTCTCTAGTAACACCTGTTACTCCATTTGCTTTATCTACGACTGGTGAGCTAACAATAACAGCTGCGCTGGACTTTGAAACAGAGAAATCTTACACTTTAGAAGTCAAGTTCGTAATCTTTTTGCGCTAATTTCTACAATATGTTTTTTCTTCAAAATATCTAAAAGTGAAACGATTGAAAAGCATTCCATATAAGATCTTAAAGTGTGACAGCATATTTTTAAGCGGAAAAGAGAAGCGATCAGCTGGTTTTGAGTTATCTGTCCTTAATTTTGAAATTTGAAATTCCTTCATTCTTTTCAAGTGCAGATAATTCATAATCAAGATAACCAATACCTTAGTTGTGTACCTTTTTTAGCTGACTTTTCTTACAGTGATTTTTAAATTTCAAGAATCGGTATATAGTATAATTTTTCTATACTTAAACCTTTGCCAATTGTCTTTAAAATAAGCAATTCTAAAGAAACTCCAGTCCCTCATCTAAACTGATTGAGTTGGGTTGTGAAATTCCATGAAATTTGATATTATGAATACATATACTAAATCAACCAACAATCATTCATTTGATAATCATAGCAGCATAGCTGTTTTCTTAACATTTTTCTGACATTTCATTTTTTCTAGAGCTGTAGATGATAATGCAGATGTTGGAACTGCAACTATCGCAGTTACTGTTACAGACGTAGCTGACACTCCAGTATTCTCAACCACATATGCTCCATGTATACTTGACGGTTCACAAGAGGGTATTATTTTGTTCTTCAAATGTTGCATTATTGACAAAAAACTTTCAGTAAACATATATTTGATTAAAAATTTGTTATTTGATCACATGAATCAGAATAAATAATTGTTTAATCTAGTTGAAAAAGCTTTTTTTTCGTTCAATTTCTAAAAGCTTTTGTAAGCAGTGTATATTTTCATCTCTTTTTGTTCATTTCTTGGTCGTTCTTAAACAATAAATTAACAAGTTAATATCTTTTCTTAAAAAATGCTGGTGTTCAGACATAATGATAGGTTATTCTCTTTTTTTTAATTAGATGCAATATTAACAACAGTTACAGCCACGCCTGTAAATAGTGCCAACACAGTGACATATTCAATTTCTGGTAAGTAACGAATATTATTTTCAACCATGTAGAGGATTTTTACAAACTAGCTTTTTTCACATTTAGATGAATTGTCATTTCTTCATCTGGTGATGTTCCTTTATTAGCTTAGAAATTTTCCTAATAGTTTAGGCGGAATATTATGTCATGACATCCGACAGTAGGTGCTAATATATTAGTCGCCAACTGTTTTGGTGACTATTAAAATGTTTCTCCTACACGTATGATCACTTTACAAACATCAAGTTTTGTTTCCCTATGAAAGTTACAGGTTACATATTCCTTACATAGGATGAAATCAAACAGACCGCTTAAAAGAAATACCCTCTTCTAATTGTAGGTACCGTTTATCATTTTTATTCGCAAGTATCTAAATTTCGCTTTATTCGCGGACAATAATGTATATCGAGAAAAATAAATACGTTAACATTTATTCAATTTTATAAAAGAAATTTAAAACTTGATTACCTATTTTAGTTTTGCTATTGTCTGAAATGTCTGCAGGTGAAAACTTAATCTCTGTTCCTTGTCTTTTTCTTGCCTTCTCAATTTTCTCACCTCCCAATACATTAGTATAAAGTAAAGAACGTAAACTATTCCGGGTTAGATTTTAGCTAAGTTTTGTAAACAACGGTTGAGTAGTCGCTCAATACAGATATCAAGAATAGAACATTATTTGTGAAGTAATCGTGAAATGAAATCAAGAGCTGAAATATATTTCAGTAGACAAATTTGCATTCATATCTTTACATGGCATACGAAATGTAACATCGTAATATATAATTTTCTTTTCTATTCCATTGTGTCTAGGTGGCAACACTGGGTCTGCTTTTAAAATTGATACTACATCAGGACTTATACAAGTTGCAGCAGGAATTACCTTAGACAAAAATACAGAAGCGACATTTGACCTTGAAGTTACAGCTATAGACAATGCTGCTTCGCCTAACACTGGGACGACAACAGTATCTGCTACAGTTAAAGACGTCTGCGACAACGGTTCCTCTTCTGTTACATTCAGTGCTTTCTTGCTTCTTCTTTCCTTCCTGGTAGCCAAGGTGTAAAGGAAACAAAGAACATTTGAAAAAAAAGGAACAACGATAATGATTTTTCTTCTTCTCTTTCTATCATTTACGTATTTGTCATAATATTTGTTTATTGTATTGTGTTTTTTTCTCTTATAGAAATAATTGTGAGTTAAAGACATGTTAACAAAGAAAGGACATATCATACAGTTTCCAACATGAGCTTTAATTATATAAGAGCAAGTCACATTCAGTCTATTCAAATAAATTTCTGTACAAATCAAACTTCAATTACACTTTCATATCTTACAAATAATCATAACATTTTAACCGATTTTTTCATTCGATATGAACAAGATACTTCTTTGTATAGAACTATTAACATTGGTAAACAGTTTAGTCTCGCTATTAAGACCATTTTGGGGCCCCTGTAGAAGTGGTCTTATTATCGATTCGGTCTTATTTTAGAGACCTATGATATGTAAATCTGTAATTGGTGGTTATCAGTAACCATTGAAATCGCTGCAGAAATATAACAGTTTGAACAACACAAACCTTATAAATCTATAATGTGAATTGGATTTTTAGATTAAGTTTTATGAGAATGTGAGAAACAGAGAAATGAGTTTGCTATGAGATATAATTGCATCGATGTGAATTCTTTCTCTCATGACCATTTTCTTGTCTAAACTTGTTAAGATTTACAATGACGTCTATGAACAGGCTAAATCAAACCGAGTCTGCAACATTTTCAATTTTTGTCGTGCTGGACGTTTTTAGGGGTGCCATTTGTCTCTTTTCTTTAAACATTTCTGAAACATGTATTATATTTTTCTATGGAAATAAAAGAACTTACTGCACTAAGTCCTGTCGATTCTATTGTTATTTTTCAGTTTTAATACCAGGATTTGTGAACAAAAACTATTATATGTATGTCTCTCTCGTCCCTCACCCAGACACCCACCCCAAGTCAAAAACCCCAAAACAGGATAGTTTATATATTAGATGATTTGCAGTTGATTAGTATACAACTTGGAATTTGAGCTAAAATTGACAATGACAATGCTGCATAATGAAAAACCCTCAATTAACGACATAAATTGAATTTTTCTGTATTCAACTTTATCTAAAAACAAAAGTGCCATTGCTTCTTTGCTATCGGATTTTCTAACAGAAAAAGAAATACAATGTATGTGTAAACCTACACATTGTTCATGTATTAAGCGAGATGTTTTCTTGACGTAAATAACTCATCTTTATTTCGATAATAATTTGAAATATAGCCTATAAACTTTGAAGCATGTTATGTTCTAACACGAATCATACTAATAAATTAAATTTCGTTTTCATTTACATGTCTAAAATCCATATAAACTCCATATTTTTGTCGCAGTCCTTACACATATATTGTCAACAAACAAAATTATTTTATTGTCACTTATGCGTGATAAAAATCAGATTCAATCTGATCAAAAAGAAGTCATCTTAACAGTGAAAGCTTACCTTTATTACACTTGCCCTGCTTGCAACGAAAGTGATAAGCCTTTGCTACCAGTCATTAACAATCAATCAAACCGAGCCTGAAACTATTCAGTTTTTGTTGTTTAGGGCGTTCTTAAGAGA